TGCAGTCTATGACTTTTCTTCTTTCATGGTAGGTAATGCGGCATTCATGGGAGGTTACCTGCTATACAGCCCAGTGGTTTTATTCTACCTGGTTGTAAATAGGGGTTCTACAATACAAGCCTAGCTTTATCTGGCAAGACAGATAATGTAGAGTATGTAGATAAAACTTTATCTAGTCTTGTGTTTGACTAGACAAATAGAATAGATTTTATAGGTGAGTCTCTCTAGTCCTATGTTTGACTAGACAGAAAATAAAGAATAGGTGTGTACTATGCACAAAATTATGTGGCAAATAATGCTAGATATTCCCCTGCCTTGATATACTAAAGGACTTATAAAAGGAAACTAGGTAGAAGCTGATTGGATTTCCCTGCCTAAATGCAAAGGGTTTAATCCAAGAAAGATGATATGATACAAGAGCAGATGATCCAACAAAGGAATCTGCAGGCACAGATAATATGGCTTGACTTGGTACTTCTAGTCCTCTGAAACTATATGTCAGATGCACACTAGACAGCACAGGTACAGTCAAGAAAAGAATAAATGATCTTAGAGCAAGTAAACCAAATGTACTTGGTCTGCACTTCCTGGCTAACACAAAGAGTGTCAATGTCAGAGAAAGTGGAAGAAGTGGAGGTTTCTTTTAAATGATAAAAGAGATTCTTATTCTTATGGGTGGAGAAGTGCTCTCCTTAAATACATGAGATGGGAGGAACTGTATAGTACCAAGAAATAAGGTTGGAAAGAGAAATGACATCAGAGTTGCATCATAAATGACCTCATTGTGGAGCAAAGTGGAGCAAAAGTGGAGCCAAGTGGAGCAGAACATTCTAGCATCCAATGACATCACTATGACATCATAGATGGCTTCATAGAATCCAACAGAATATTCCAGAAATTTCTGTGGAGCTATATGACATCATCATGACATCATACCCTGCAGGTACATTTTGTGGAGTCTCTGGGAGGTCAAAGAATCAAGTAGGTAAAGAAATGAAAGAAAAATATGAAGAAAATAAAGTAGAATAAATCATCCGACAGAACAAATCAAAACACTGGCTTTTTGGATAGGGTTTTGGTAGGCTTTTATCTTTTCTCCTTGGTTATTTCTAGTCAAAGTAGATAAGCCAAATGATAGGCAATAACCTAAACTTTTGTATGACTATCAACTTTGACTAGGTCAATATATGATTTCTTCATCATATTTGACTTTTCTTCAACACACCATATTTTTGCATGATTGGAGCATGCAAAGTGAAATATTGCACTTGAGTTTGTACTCAAAGTACATTTTGTGTAGTCTGAGGACTAAACTAACAGACTATGGAAATGTGGCATGATATGTCATATACATGTTCTGCATGATTCCCAAATCATGCAGGACAACACCATCCTTCAATAATACCTTGGTTATCCCCATAGACTCAGAAACATCTTTCTGATCCTCCCATTCTGACAGTGCAAAGTAAGTAGTTCAAACCCAACTGCTTCTGCCCAACCAATGTCCTTTTGACCATTGAGTGTCTGCCAACCTTTGTGTAAGTGCCAGGCTGTTAAGAACCATGCTCAAAGGAGAGAGAGACTGACTCAGAGGGGCTTGGCCTCAGCTTGTACACTGTGCCCCTTACCTGAGTATGTGGCCTTCATTTCAGAGGAAGTCTGATGATGGTCTGACGAAGTCCAGAGGACTTCCAGAGGCTGGCTACTCTGGTGGAGAGTGCAGGAGGACTTCCGGAGGAGCATGGGAAACATCTGGAAGAGCACAGGAGAGTTCTGGAGGAATGCAGGAAATGCTCAGGAGAGTTCCCACTGCAAGGTAATACTTCTACAGGAAAACAGGATGGAAGGATAGGAGGTCCAGAGGACAGGAGGACAGGATGTCCAGAGGTCTGGAGTATGGAGGACAGGAGGTCTGGAGGTATGGAGGACGGAATGTCCAAAGGTACAGAGGGCGGAACATCCAAAGGACAGGATACCCAGAGGTATGAGGGACAGGAGGTCCGGAGGTCCGGAAGGAATAGGGGCTACATCGGACAAAGTCTGATGTAGAAGCAAACAGAGGTAGACTACCCTAAGGTAGAGTCGGAGGGACAGGAAGTGGACCTAAGTCCAGAAAGAGGGTAAGTGCCAGAAAGGCAAGACTCTAGCCTAGGGAAGCAATCCCTAGACTTGGGACAGAGAAATAGGGGACAAATCTGAAAGTCCGGAATTCCAGCCTAGGGAATCCTTCACTAGGCCTTATGGAAAAGGACGAGACTCAGACGGACTGAAGTCCAGAAGATGATTGGCAAGTAGAACAGGATCTAAGATGATATTCAGACTGAGGACTCTACTGTAGTTGTACAGGGGTTATATACTAGAGGCTATCTGAGAGGATCAGTAAGCAAAGGAGTAAGGCTATGTATGAGCATGTGGAAACACATTGGTAAGTAAGATGGAACATATGTAAATGAACTCGGAGATGAAACTAGTACAAGGATCAATCAGCAAGACAGAAACAGAGATAACCAAGAACCGGAAAGGCGGAGATGCCTAAATGGGGATAGGCACAGGATCTCGGATAGAGGGCAGGAATAGGTCCAGAGATAGTAACAGTTAATATCTGGAAGTCCGGAGATCTGGGGATCTGGAAGGCAGGGCAGAAACAGGACTGAGATATGTGAGGTGGTGGATGTAGTCCGGAATCTGAGAGGAGGTAAAGTCCGGATGTCTTGCTGGATGGAATGTGCGTAGGGTGGACAGGATAGGGGATCCAGGAATGAGTTGGATACAGGGTCCGGAAATAGGTCCGGAAAGCGTGGGAATATGATGGGATCTATGTCTGGCATACAGGATATGACACAGGCTTGCCATCTATCACCAATGATGATAGCAATTCCAATGCCTGAACTGGCATCTGAATATGCTGCTGGGTCATGTAAGGTGAGTGGTTTGGGAATTGGATGTCCCACAAAGGAGGACTGCAATAGCATTGACCACCAGGCAAGGTCCACTTCAAGACTTTTGACTGGGTGCCATGGGAGAAAAGGCTTGTTGAAGGCGAGGTGAAGCATAGCCTCCAAGGATGTAAGATATGCTTGACCCTTCAGAATGACAAGTGGCATGTGTAACAGTTTACCATACAACTGTTGTACATCAAGGAGAATGTGAGTGTCATGTTTCTTCCGGACTTGGATTGTCAAGAGATACTTAAGCTTCTTTTCTTCTGTAAGATAAACTTTGTTAAGCTCCAAGTTCCACATGATGCCAATGTAAGGATTAGCATAGGCAAATGCTTTGTCCTTAAGTCTTTCCCAGGGAACATCAAGGTCTTCTGACACCTCATTGATGTCCGACATGTTACATGAGAAATGTCTGTCTTCTGTAGATCTTAGGGACACTCCAGAAAGATCCATGATAGGAAAGCAACAGTCCTCATTGAATTCCTCCAGTGTGCTATCTTCAAAAATATGCCCACCAAACCAAATCCTACCTCCATCCTGATGTGGCCCCCTACTTGTGATCTCCTTATGCCATTGTTCTCTTTCGGTATTGTAAGCTGCAATGAACTCTTTGAGTATATGAATGAATAGGTGGTCATCCACCCATCTTGAGTTCGGACCAATGCCCTTAGAACTGAAAAGATTGAGTCCCACATCAGTGAGATTCCCATAAGCACCAGCTGAGGGACTAAGACCAAAGCACATGCAAGTATCAATGCAAAATTGGTCTTCTGAGATCCATACAACAGATCCCAGCCATTGTGAGGAATGAATTGGGACTGTTCAATACACTTCAGATACATCTCTGATGGCAATCTGTGACCCTGGTGGCAACTGGCTGATGGTAAGAGCAAGTATGTGGAATGTACCCCAGGTACTGGGAAAATTATTGGGATTAATGTAAGAATTGATTGACATGTTTGGAAATTTTGATGAAGGAGTGTGAGGAAAAGAATAGCTTTGAATGACACAATGGCATCCTGGATGACCAGGTTTGGGAATGATAGAGAATGGTGATGACTGAAAGGGTCCAATAAGACTCTTGACTTCATTAAGTTTAAGCAGGCCAATGTATCTTCCTTTCTTAAGTTTGGCCTGTACAATGGAGAGAAACTCTTGTTGATATGTAGTGATGGACTCTTTGTTAGGAGGTGCTTGCATGACTCTAATATTAGGAATGTCCAACATAAAACCTCGATGAAGACCTTCAGGGATCTGGGGGTATCTGTCAATGAGACCAGTTGCAATGAGTTCTGCTTCCCATGCATCTGGGTTATAAGGCACTCATGCCTTATGCTTTCTGTGCTTGAGGGCACAATTGAGTTCTGTGAGTCAAGACCCCACATCCTAAGCAAAAGTATCTGTGATCATGCATGACTTCTGCACATCCACTGACTTGCTGCCAGTCACTGCATATGGACCTTCCATCTCACATGGTGAGCACTCTCCTGATTCATGCACAAAGTGAGTTGTGAGACTCGTCCCAGAGCTTGACTGACTTGCATTCAATGATTCTGTGGGGGTTTCATCTGAGGCATACAGCACAAGTGGAGAGGACACCTCTGCTTGTGCCTGCAAAATCATGAGTATTGTCTTTCTTGATGCAATCCTCCCAATATACTCTGGTCTTTGTCTCCTACATAACTGTCTCATTGACATTAGAGATGTCATAAGGACCAGCTGGAGACTTGGCCACGATGTGCCAACATCTGTGCTGCTCAGCTTGGTATACCAAGAGAGTCTCCTGCGCTAAAGGGTCTCATGCTGAATGGTACTTGTGGACTTGTAAGTTCCTCCAAAAAAGAGCCATCATCCTTAACCTATCTTGCGGCCAGTCTGCCTCTTCTAAGGCAAGTAAAAAGTGAGGGCATGCTTGACAAAAGTCTTCAAAATGTAAGTCTTCATTGTTGACAACTGAATGAGTGCTGTGAGTTGAGGCAGATGATACCTAGGCTGTTGCACCATCTGGTAGGGTAGATAGAACCATGGTGTTGTCATCCATGGTTTCTTGGCAGACACCTCATCTAGTCTGTCATTGGTGAAATACCACAGTTCAAGGTACTCTCCCTTCTCCAGCTTGTAAAGTGTGTATGAGCAGGGGGTAATGGTTGGATCATCAGGAATACCCAAGTTGTGATTTGGAATATACTTGTGTTTATTCTTCCATTCTTCCTTGCAAGCATCTTCTTCCTCGTTGGCTTGTTCTTGGTTTAAATGTTCTTGCTCATCATCTTCCATGTGCTGAATGTGTTCATGTTCTTCCCTGTCATCTTGCTCTTGTTGTTGCCATAGATGCTTATCTGACATGTTATTAGATTGCCAGATGTTCCTAAGTAATTGAATTGCTTGTTCTTCTGTTGTGTCATCATTAATGAGCTGTGCTTGAGTATTAGCAAAGTCTTCTGAAGCATAGTCCAGACAAATGTTTAAGTTAGGATCATTTTGAATATGAGGCATGATGATTATAAGCTTAGAATAACTTGAAAATGAATGTGACGAAATGAGCATGTAGTCACGGATAATAGGACTTGTGAGTACTATGTGGTAATATGAAGCAAGAAGTGTGGGAAACACAAAAACCTGAATCACTGCATAGATCTAATTCTATGTATGTTCTCATGCCTCAAACTAACATAGAATACACACTAGGGTCTGTGACATGTGACACTACCATATTTTTCAACATTAGTAACAACTGCTACCCCAGGAATCAGCCAAAAAGGCAAGATCAGATGTGCATTTGTCATTGCCAATATACTGGGCAATGTCCTGAGTGTTCAAGGAGTTGAAAAATTGAATGGGAGACTGATATCAAAGGCTGATGAGGAGAGCATAGAGTTTGCAATGGATATCAGGGCAATTGTGGATACTGCCAGTGATTGCAAGCCAGATGCCCAGGTGGTGTTAGAGCAAGGGAGAAGGAAGAAAAAGGTAAACATGCTGTATTCACACCAATTTTGGTGCCACCATAATGAGGGAGAGTAAGTATAAGTAATCATATGTATGTTTGCATGTAATTAAAGTAAATGCATTGTCTCAGTAACTTAATTAGGAGGTGGTGGAGGCACTTTTTGTTTTCATTCATAATGTTGTGATTAGGCAACTGCACAGGTATACCCCTGAGTATCAGAGGTCAAACCTGTACCCATACACACAGATATACCCACACCCCAACAGTGGGTACAGGTTTTGCAGCAGGTATTGGCATAATGGACCTGGGGTATGACCCACAGAGGGTATACCCAACTCACTCCATAGGCCAAGACAAAGAAGTGCATGCATTGACTGCACTGATAGGTGACTTCTGGTATGCAACAGAATGAGATGCCCATGACTGAACAGCCATTTCACATCAACAGATGTTGCTGTGGGCAAATGTAAAGATGGTGTATCAGAAAGCCAGTTATATACAGTAAGCAACAAAACTGTTGCAATGTTTGCATGATTTTGATTGCTCTGGCCATATCATTGCAGGGATTGCAGCTATCAAGATATAGATGAGAGCAATATTGTAGCCCTACATTCAGGCCACAATATTTGTACTACATTGAAGGTGTGAAAACATTTCCTTAAAAGGATACATGCAATTTACTACTTCTATTTCTGTTTTTTATATCTTGTCACCACAGACATCCTATACACATTCATTGCTTTTGTCACACTTCATCACACTTTATCACATGGCATTTACAGAAACTGCTCAAGGTCTATCTTAACAGTGATGCACCCAAACTCCAGTCATTTGTTATGTAATGCATGACAATGGCCAGGAAAGCAAATTGATTACTTGAAGTCCATGCATCAAGAGAGAGGCTGACTTTAGACTTGACATTCTGTCATATTGTATAGACTATAAATTGTTCTTCTTGGGCTTGACATGACTTACCTGTAAGGCTGACTTTGAGTTCAACAGGGAATTACAAACTGGACAAGGTAAGGTGAGACATGGGTATAGAACAGAGTAAGCACAAGTGGTGAGAGACAGAGACTTTCAGGTTAGGACATTTCTTTGAGTGGGGAATTCACTGTATGAGATTCTGCTATAGGTATGAGTGTGCATAAGTGGTATATATATAAGTTCAGATACTTGTCTAAGCTGGAGTGAGAATGAAGAGCATGTGGTGAGTCAAGATATGAATGGTTGGAGCAAGAGTAAGCACAAAGTAGCATTAATGAAAGAGAATGGAGAGAATGTATCCATGTGACTTCAGATGCAAAAAGTAATGCTCTTTGCATTACAGATACCTTAATCATGTCCTTCACACCTTGAATAGTTTCTTCTCTAAGCATCTTCATAATGTGGCACTTGATGGTAAGCCTGCCAGGGATATTGAGTGATGAACCTTCATGTGTGTAGTCTGAGAATATTTTGAACTCCAGTCATTCTACCTCCTCAAACAGCTGGTCACATGCTATGAGCCACTATGTGAGCAGCTCTTCAAACCTTGCTTAGTTCCAGTTACCAAAAGGTTTGGTAACCTGCTTGTCAAAAATGTCAACAATGTTCACTAATGCTTGCCTGACCTGAATCAAATATTAGACAACTGCTGTAACATCAAAAACCTTTTCTTCCTATGCAATCCTAAGCTCATCATTGGTAGGTGGTATTCCTTGGGACTTCAAGCTTCAAGAGCAGATACAGTCAGTACATTGGTGAAAAATGAGTCTTCAGATGACTAATCAAATCTGAGACTAGCAAGAAATAAGATATACCTTGAAAATATAATATATCATTCAGACTACTTTTTATTGCATGCATGATGGTAAGGACCTTGTGGTTCCCCAAATAACAATTGTAGTGTTTGTCAGCAACATCACCTGCTTGTCTGTCAGAATTTATCTCCACAAGCTTATAGAAGTAATAGATTAGATTGCACTTGCCAGCCTGCTAATGGTTTGGAGTGACTCAAGTTATAATACAGTGGCTCAAAAAAGTATCTCAATGTTTGTGACTTTTTGTGTAATTGCTGTATTATGAGCTAGGGTGTGAGAATATGACTAAGCCATAGGGAGGTGTGGGAAAGCTCTGCTTCTAAGCTTTATGTTTGATCCCTCTAGCGTGAGAAAATTATGTCATCAAGTGAAGATATGGTTAATTTAATTTGGTGACTCATTGAGACACTTTTTTGACTTTCAGTTTGACCAACACAATCTCTATAATTCTGGTACTTGGTGTTTCCTCTTGTTGCTCTAATTACTTCTGCCACTCTTCTATGCATACTATCTATCAATCTGAGGCATTCCTCATCAACAATCTTGCCCCACTCTGCTGCAACTCTCTCCCACAGCTGAAATAGCCCCTATTGTTATTATCATCAGCTTTTCTAATCTGTATACCAGGCAGATTGCTACTAAAACTGGTCTGAGCAGAGTTACTATCATTATGATCATAAAAAAGTCATTCCAGATAAGAAAAATATCAAATTAGATTGTCCTTTCAAGCTTACATCATATAACAAAAAATCTCTTATTTATAATATTCCAACTAGGCAGGCTACCAATGCTACTCAAGCCACCAAATTCATTAGTTACATCATCTATACTGCTCTCTCCACTCAAGTAGTCAGGGGTACTCTTAAGGCAGCCAGTCTTAAAGCTGTAAACAGGCAGAAAAGCCTTTCCTGTCTTCAGCCTATATAGAAAGGAGATTAGCCTTTGCTTTAAAGCCTCAATATTGGACTGTTGAGGACTGGAATAGGGCTACCTGGTCAGATGAGACAAAAATCAATAGAATGGGGCCAGATGGCTAGGAATATGTGTAATGAAATGCAGAAGAACTACTAGAAGAAAGAAAGGTCAAGAAAACACTAAAGTATGGAGTAGGAAACTTGATGGTATGGTGTTGTATGAGGTGGAATGGAGTAGGAATTCTCTGTGAGGTGGGAGGGAGGATGAATGTAAAGCAGCACATTTCAATTTTGGAAAAGTATCTGCTCAGAAGCATGCAAGAATCAAGAATTAATGAAGAAAACATTACCTTCTAACAAGACAATGACCCTAAGCATACTTCAAGTTGACCATAAAATGGTTTGAAAACTATGGTATCAGTGTGCTATTATGGCAAGTCCAGTCTTCAGACCTCAACCCTATTAAACAGCCTTGGTAATTACTCAAGATATCACTTGTGGTCTCTCAAGAGCCTCAATAGGGGTTATTTTAGCTGTGGGAGAGAGTTGCAGCAGAGTGGGGCAAGATTGTTGATGAGGAATGCCTCAGATTGATAGATAGTATGCATAGAAGAGTGGCAGAAGTAATTAGAGCAACAAGAGGAAACACCAAGTACCAGAATTATAGAGATTGTGTTGGTCAAACTGAAAGTCAAAAAAGTGTCTCAATGAGTCACCAAATTAAATTAACCATATCTTCACTTGATGACATAATTTTCTCACGCTAGAGGGATCAAACATAAAGCTTAGAAGCAGAGCTTTCCCACACCTCCCTATGGCTTAGTCATATTCTCACACCCTAGCTCATAATACAGCAATTACACAAAAAGTCACAAACATTGAGACACTTTTTTGAGCCACTGTAGCTATGAACAATAGAAAAGAACTTGCCTTTGATAATCTTATTGTTGGGGGAAGAGCCAAGCTCATCAACAGCCACAAGCTGCCATTATCCTTGTCATCTACTTCCTTCACCCAAGCTCATTTGGATACCTGAGAAATGCTGGCAGGTAAAGGTTGGGCTGCCTTGCACTTCATTTTCTGTCAGAATTGGTGTTTGTCATTGCTCCCTCATTGTGGTACAGTTTTCATAAGCAAAATTGCAGCAATCTACAATATAGTTAGTAAGACTAGTCAAGAAAACATGAGAAATAACTTACCTCCACATTAGTTATCTCCTGGATATCACTATTAGAGCCTGATGAGGATGACTCCAAGCCAGATTCAGAATCATCTCCTGTGAAATTACCATCATCAGCATCTGAAGCCTCATTGACTGGGAGAGTCAAAAGAAGTTATTATTATTAATAATGATCCCTTTCTTGGGCAAGCAACAAGATCAGTGATGGTAACACTGAGGCTGATCATGTTCTTCATGTTCAGCTTAAGATAGGCCACAGTCATACTTCACTTGATCATGTGGTGTGACTGAGGTGGTGACTCAATGGGATTTTGTGTTACTAACTACTATTAGTCATGGTTATACAACTTGAAGTGTTCCTACATTCTCTTTGGAGTGAATAGTTGACTTAGCCCAGCTTCCCAGGTTTGTAATGTTGAAGAGTTTTCATTTCAGCATACTGTTGAGAGGTAGTGTTAGTTCTGTCAATGGTTTCTGAAGCAGATCACCAAGTAGACTTGAATGACAAAGCACAATGAGCATGTCCTGAACATAAGAAAGTCATCTTCACTCTCAGTTTGAACTATATTACAATTTTAAAACCTAGGCTCTCTGGTATGTACCTTAGCTAACATTCCTAGGTTCTACTTTAGTAAAAAACAATGATTTGAAGGAGGAGATGTGATTCTGGCACCCCCATCATGAAATGTCATGATCTGATCACATGATCAAGCAAAGTATGACTGTGGCCTATCTTATATAAATCAGGGCATTCATATACTCATGATTTTTGGGATTATTGTCTCCCATGTCCAAGAACCTCCTAAAAGGCTTGATCCTCAGCAGGTATACATGTGTTAGGAGCATCAGATGACATCAAGCAATGATATGGGATCCAGCAGGGGGAAAGACAAGAAAGCAATAGCACTAGTAGATATCTTGACCAGTGTCATGGTTCCACCATGCTTCTCTAAAATTGGGGCAAAGAATTTGATTTAAAGAATATATGATCTAGACATGACATAGAACACATTAGAACCTGATTGATTGTATATTGTAGTGGAAGACATACCATTACTTTGAGGAATTCCATAGTGTGAGGATCAGGTCCAGAATGAGTTGTGGTGAAATTCCTGCTATGGCAGTAGTGGGTTTTTCCATGTCATGGCCACAAAAACCTCATCTTTCAATTTTTGGCAGAGAAATTGATTCCAGCCCTAAACATGTCTGTTTGTGGTGTTTGGTTTGCATGATTCTGAATGGCTGATTTCTCATAATCCATATCATGATACATCCTTCATACATATCTATTTACATACACATTCACCTTATCATACATGTTCCATCCATGTTCATGTTTCATTCTCCATTTCAATGATCCTTTAATATTCAGCATCCATAATATTCCCCTCCCTCAGTCTTTCTAACTAAGACTGAGGTGAGCTACTTACTATGACTCCTCTGCATACTTGGTGCTAACGATACATAGCTCTCTCTTCCTCATTTCTAGGTATGAACTTGTTGTAGTCTTTCTAACTAAGACTGAGCTCTCTCTTCCTTGTTTCTAGTTCCTAGTCCAAGTCTCATCACCTTTTAATAGGTTATGAGCCCTGGCTCAGACTAGGCCTTACATTCATTTTTCGCTTCCACCTGCCCAGCCTATCTAGCCTTCCAGACCTTTCCTGAACTGGAACAAGGCTGCCCTCTATCACTGCTTGACCAGCAGATCCTATCCATTCCTTTGCTGCTGTCACCACCATTGACTCCTGTCATCCCAACCCACTCATTACCAAACCCACTTACCCTCCCCATTCTATTGTCGCCATTGCCAACACATCATTCTACATCAGTAATGTCTACCATTTTGTCATCTAACATCCAAATCCTGACATCTTTTCCTCACTCCCCTCTGAATGCCAATGGCTCCAACTACACCTCATAGGTAACATCTATGGATCTTTGGCACCTCCTTACTGGTAATGAGAAGGGCCTTCAGCGCCCAAGCAAAGGCACCACTGAGACTGACAAGGACTTTAACATACGCCTCATAGCCCATGATGCAAGCACAGATGTCATTTCCTTCTGAGAATGCCAAAGTATAACCAAGGGACTCCTTGGTATGGTGGTCCATTCAAGTGACCTTATCCATTTCATGGGTGTCACTGACCCAGCCACTGTCTGGAAGGCACTGGAAGACAAGTATCAGGCATCTGTCAGTATCTGCTTTATGAGCCTTATGGGCCATGTTTTTGATCTTCCCAAGGCAGCCAACAGTGACTCCCTTACCAAGACCATTAAGGAAATTATGGACATCAAGGCACAGTTCAAGGTCATCGAGTCTATGGAATGGAAGTGCAATAAATATATGCTTATTCAAGCATTACTGCATGCCCTCCCTGACTTCTATGCCCTGCTCTCCCAGCTCATACTCCATAGTGGTGATGCCAATGCTGGAAAGCTAATGCTGGAAGGCGTAATCAGCCAGATTAGGAACTTGGAACAGCACTATGTGAGCTTTGGCTCTGCTGTAGGGATTTCATATTCTGTGGGCTTGTATAGGCAGATATTGCTTAGTGTTATGTTCGCACTTTTGGTGCTTATGTAATCATCATAGTTTTCACCACCTACCAGTACCAGTCTGAGACTGAGAGTTTATAGCATGATTTCCTATCCTCTCTGAGCACTGAGCTTAGTCCAGAAACCCTCTAGGGTTAAATAGCAGCTAGGCATAGCACATTTAGCCCAATATTAGAAGTCTACTTTCCAGTTCTCTTCTTGTTGTGTTTCCCACACTGCAAACCTGCATGTGCACCATACAGCCATGGCTGCTAGGGTGGCAAAAGCAGGTAAACCCACTAAATGTGCCAAGCTGAAGGATTTTGATGCTTCCAAGGGAGATAAGTGGGAACTCTCATGGCATTTAATGTGTGGATCCTGTAAGCACAAGGGACATATATGGCACAACTGCCAAACTCATCTAGCAAAGATGGACTCTCCAAACACATCAGCACATGTTCTCCCATCAACCTCACAGACCACTGATCCACCAACTTCTGCTCTAGTGCAACTTGACATCATTCCATCATTCCTTTGCCTACCTACACATGAAGCCAATTTCTCTAATGTGAGCAATAGTTCCTTCTCTTTCCATGTAGATTCTGCTGCAACTGCACATATGGAATCAGACCACACTCTCTTTACTTGCTACTCTCCCTATAATCCACCATTAACAGTGAAACTTGCAAATGATGATGTCATTTTCACTCCAGGCTGGGGGATCATAAAACTAATGCTCAACAATGATGGAAGATGAGAACCAATTGAGCTGCCCTTCCTACATGTCCCTGATCTGCAATGCACTTTGATATCTGTGTCAGCTCTTGCATTGGAGGGCATCTTTTTCAAAACAAATGCTCAAGGAGCCTGTATGCACCATACAGATGGTACCACCATTGCCAGAGTAAACTACACTAATGGGTTGTACTACCTTTGTGTGAAGTATGGTTGTGATCATATTGCCTTCACTGCCAAGACCTTGTCAAACACACCACTACCAACGACAATTTGGCACACACAAATGGGTCATGCAGCTAATACTACCTTGTGCAAAGCTGAAAAAGTGGTCACTGGACTCATTCTTGCTAATAATGGACCAGATCAACCCACAGAGCATAGTGCTGATTACATTGAATGTCAATCATGTCTGATGGGCAAGCACAAGCATTTCCCTTTCCCATCCCAGGCTCATCACCATGCCACTTATATTGCAGAACTTATACACACAGATGTCTGGGGACCTATTGACACTGCCACTGCATCCAGGGAGACATACTTTGTTGCCTTCACTGATGACTTCTCTCACTACTCAATGATCTGCCTTATTAAACACAAGAGTGATGTGTTTTCTCACCTGCAACAATATGTCACCTGGATTGAGAAGCAGTCAGGTCAGCAAGTGAAATGTCTTCATAGTGATAATGGTGGGAAATACATCTCCAGTGCTGTCATTAACTTCTTGCATGGGAGGGGTATTGAACACAAACTTACAATGCCACATACTGCAGAGCAAAATGGAGTTGCTGAACAAGGTCATCAGACAGTTGTCACTTGTGCTTTGAGTGCACACCATCAAAGTGGTTACCCTCAATCATTTTGGGGATATGCTACCCTGAACTCAGCATATATCAAGAATCTCCTTCTATCATCAGCTGTTGATGAGAAGACACCTTTTGAGCTCTTCCACGGATACCCATCTGATGTTTCACACTTGCATCCTTTTGGTTGTCTCACCTATGTGCACATCCCTGATGTTACATGACACAAGTATGACTATGTGTCATGTCGGTGTTTCCTACTGTGCCATATTAAGGATGCTGGTTACTTGCTGTGAGATCCAGCAACACAGAAAACTGTGTGGTCTCACAATGTTCATTTTGATGAGAATGTCTTCTATGGAACTCCTAATTTGGTGATCTCTCCACTTGTTGAGCTCTACAATTAGCACATTCAGACACAAAAGTCTACAGGTATACCAACTGTGATAATGGACCCAAGACAAGACTCAGGGAACAGAGGAGACTTGGATATCTCCAAGTCTGTTCTGGAGATCACCATCAACACAATGACACCATGACCAACTGCAACCACTGTTTCAGTGGGAGTCCCACCTCCAGCAGCACCCATAGCATCTGTCAAACCACTTCTCTCCTTCACACAAACCCATCAAGATGGAACAGACAACACTATGATATTGACTGTGGAAGACCTGCCACAGACCATTCCAATACCTGAACCATTGCCACAGCATTCAACTTGTCAACATGTTGAGGCTATGCTCCCTCTCCCACACTCTGTTGCAATCCCAGCCAAACCCAATGTTCCTATTAATTGATGTTGGACTTATGTCCCTATCAACACATGCACAGATATTGATTCAGAGTCATCTGAAACCATTGTTGAACATGCTGCAATGCTAGTAGCCAAGAAAATCACTGATGGATGAAAAACAACCCCTACAAATATTACAGTGGCTCAAAAAACTGTCTGCATGTTTTGACATTTTTCACTATCTATGATATTGTGTGAGAACTCACAAATGGCTCAAGGACATGCTTATACCACATTGTAGTATGGCTTCAGGGCTTTCATTTGAGCCCTACACCGTGGGAATCGGTGGAGATATGGTGGAGATACAAGGCTCACAAAATGGTGACTCATGCAGACAGTTTTTTGACTCAAGTATTTTACAATAATAACCAGGTATTCTAGTAATTTGTATGACCTCCCTTGGCTTTAATTACTGCCTCTATCCTTCTAGGCATACTCTCAATTAATTTCTGGCAATCCTCAGCTGTGATCTTCCCCCATTCCACTGCTACTCTCTCCCAAAGCTCCCATACTCCTTTAGGGAGGTTTTCATAGGCTTGAAGCTTTTTCTTGAGTGTTCCCCAGAGATGTTCAATGACATTGACATCAGGAGACTGTGCTGGCCAGTCAAGAACATTGATGTTATGTTCTTCAAACCATTCCTTAGCTCTTCTGGATGTGTGCTTGGGATCATTATCCTGTTGGAAAATGATATCTTCTTCATCAATCCCTGATTCTGCCAAGCTAGGCAGCAAGTGGTCATTTAAAATGTCCACATACTGCTCAGCATTCATCTTCCCCTCAACCTCAGCAAGCATTCCCACACCATTCCATCCCATACAGCCCCATACCATTAAAGAACCTCCTCCAAACTTGACAGTCCCATTAACCTCTCTATCTGTTAGGCCATCTCCCTTCTTTTTCCATACATATACCTTCCCATCTGACCCAATCCTATTGATTTTGGTCTCATCTGACCATATAACATGCTTCCAGTCCTCTACAGTCCAGTGTTGATGAGCTAAGGCAAAGGCTAGTCTTCTCTACCTATGTTTGATGGAGAAAAGAGGCTTTTTCTTCTTTGTTACTGCCTTGAGATGAGCTGCCTTGAGAACATTCCTCACAGTTTGTGAAGAGACAGGGGTAGTGATGGTGGAATTGATATAATGGGTGGCTTGGACAGCATTATCAGCCTTTCCTATAGTGATATGTTGGATAATAGCCCTTTTGTCAGTAGAGGTAAGCTTGGATGGACATCCTTCACAAGAGTTTTCCTTGTCTGGGTGGCTTTCTTTGATAAACTTGGCCACAGTGGACTTGCATACTCCAGTTCTAGAGGAAATTTGGCAAGCAGAGAGGCCAGCATAAGACAGAGAGAGGATATTATCTCTTTGAGCAGAGGAGATAGCTTTCATGGTGATTATGACTATGATACATGAGATATTCTGGTTTATATAGTTAGATATAGTCATAAAATAACATAATGACACCACTTCATAATTTATATAATAGTGGCATGATTTTTGTGGTGTCATAAATAATGATTTATATAGTTTTAATATACACTCACAAAACTGTCCACATGAGTCATCATTTTATAAGCCTTATGTCTCCACCATATCTCCACCGATTCCCACAGTGTAGAGCTCAAATGAAAGCCCTGAAGCCATACTACAATGTGGTATAAGCATGTCCTTGAGCCATTTGTGAGTTCTCACACAATATCATAGATAGTGAAAAATGTCAAAACATGCAGACAGTTTTTTGAGCCACTGTATCTGAAGCACGCACATCTAGTGAGGAATCTGCATTCTGGGAAAGTGCCATGCTCAAGGAGCTAGCATCACTACATGAGAAGGGCACTGGTGTACTCATTCCTCTACCTCCTGGTTGAAAGGCAGTTGGCTCACAATGGGTATATGCCTACAAATATGACGAAAATGGTCAAATTGTCCGCTACAAAGCTCATTTGGTCATGCAGGGGTTTTCACAGGTTGAAGGTCTTGATTATACTGAAACTTTTGCACCAGTTGCAAAGTATGACACCACACATGTGTTTCTCTCAATGGTTGCAAAATTTGACCTTGAACTTGATCAAATGGATGTCAAGACAGCATTTCTCAATGGTGGACTCAACAAGGATATCTACATGCACCAACCACCTGGTTTTGAGGACTCAGAGTACCCAGATTGGGTTTGGAAGCTTCTGAAGGTTATATACAGATTAAAGCAAGCTGGTCATCAGTGGAATAAGACCCTTGATGATTATTTGCGAAAGGAGGGTTTCAATTTTGTGCAGAGCGAAGTGGACTACAGCCTGTATGTCTTGCGTAAAGGTGACAAGACCATCTGGTTGCTTATCTATGTTGATGATATGTTGCTTGCGTCAAACTGTCAGTCATTCCTTGATGGTTTCAAGGCTGCGCTGAGTAAGCATTTTGAGATGAAGGATCTTGGTGAAGCATATCATTTCCTAGGGGTGCACATCACACGAGACTGTCCTAAATGACTCCTCCAAATCAACCAAACTGCTTTCCTAGAACAGATCCTCAATGAAACAAAGATGTCAGATTGCTGCCCTGCATCCACACCTCTAGTACCAGGTGTCTCACTGTCTAAAGCCATGTCTCTACTTACCAACACAGAGAAATAACAATTTGCACATCTCCCATATGCTCGCACTATCAGCAAACTCAATTTTGCTATGCATGTCAGTCGTCCTAACATTGAATATGCAGTATCCATGCTATTGAAGTTTTTGAGCAATCCAGGTGCTGAACATTACCACCAACTCCATCATCTTCTTTGTTATATTTGCGGTGTGGGAAACACAACAAGAAGAGAATTGGAAAGTAGACTTCTAATGTTGGGCTAAATGTGCTATGCCTAGCTGCTATTTAACCCTAAAGGGTTTCTGGACTAAGCTCAGTGCTCAGAGAGAGTAGGAAATCATGCTAAAAACTGCTCAGTCTCAGACTGGTACTGGTAGGTGGTGAAAATTATGATGATTACATAAGCACCAAAAGTGCGAACATAACACTAAGCAATATCTGCCTATACAAGCCCACAGAATATGAAATCCCTACAGCGGGACAGCTCAATATTCCCTGTCTTTTGGTCTATCTGACCAAGGACTTGTTGGCTACTCAGATTCAGATTTTGCATCTGATAAAGATGATAGCCAGTCAATTGGTGGTTATGTCTATTACCTTTTCAGTTCCCCCATCAGTTGGCACTCCCAGAAACAGTTGGTTGTAGCCACATCCTCAACTGAAGTGGAATACATCACTCTCTCAAATGCTGCTCAGGAACAAATTCACCTTAACCAATTACTGCACGATTTTGGACTTCATTCATCATTCATCCTGCCTACTATTCTATATGGAGACAATAATGGGAGCCATTGTGAAGAAGTAATTGGTACTAGGCAGTTAGCAACTAGCACTACTTATCCTAAGAGGTGCGAGTTTAATTGATCAGCCCAAGAGGACTGCTATTGAAGCACTTCCTTCAATTATGTGCAAGGGAAGTAAGTGAGCGAAGGAGTTATAACCTATATTGGCCTAAGAAACTTGAACACAGGCCATATGTATACCTCTGAATTCCTATACCAAAGAATCAACTGTGAGCGCAGGCAAAAATTGACCAATGTTAATATCACAGGAGCGAGATGAACTGTTAGAAGATATATGCGAACGTATTGGATGTCAGATGCCAGTGTGGCCAATGTAACATGCACAAAATCAACCACGCTCTATGGAGCAGCCAGTCGCAAGGGATATAGCACAAGTGAAGAACAGCACTTAACTACCAGTCGTGGGTCGGGTATTCTTGCAAGAGCTTTAAGGGTAAGATCCTAGTGATACAGAACTTCAGAGCAGTCGAATTGCACAGGATCATCAAGAAGGAGCAAAATAGATGGATAGTGCAAGGTCTACAAAAATAACACAAGAACAGCTCTCCTATAGAGCTGAGTCCAGGGGAAAGGGAACTACTCAATCATATGTACTGCGGTCATTTATATCATAGCATGTGAATGTCCAGAATGCATAGGCGAGAATTGTAGTGTAGTTAGCGAGCGCATGATGAGTCTATAGGTAATAAAACATCATGCACTGTGGAACGTGAGTAGTCGTGTAATAAGACCTGCAGCTTGTTTAGCAATGACATTTGGGAAAAATAACACACTAGCGGAGATAGGTGGACATGGATAGGACATGGGAGGGTGGATTCCTAGGACCAGACCAGAGTAAGAGCAGATGGGTCGATATATATGGATTTAACAATCCGTGCTTTATCTCCTTTTCTGAAGGTGAGAAGAACCGTGCTATTGATCATACACGCCTAGTGCCAGTATGATCATCACACCATGCACTAACGAAAAAACCCCAGTTCCATGACCATGCAAAACACATTTGTGTTCAGTATCACTTCATTCACAACCTCATCAGCAATGGCATTATTGAGATCCCATACATACCCACACATGATATGGTTGCCAATATTTTCACGAAATCCCTGCCACAAAAACTTTTCCACAATCATCACTACTCACTTGCTCTTTGCTCATCTTCAAACAAGACCTTGGCTGAATAGTTCCACACATGTATCTGGTGATATGCATCTGAGTGGGAGTATCACGATACATCCTTCATACATATCTATTTACATACACATTCACCTTATCATACATGTTCCATCCACATTCACATTTCATTCTCCATTTCAACAATCCTCTAATATTCAGTGTCCATAATATTCCCCTCCCTCAGTCTTTCTAACTAAGACTGAGGTGAGCTACTTACTATGACTCCTCTGCATACTTGGTGCTAATGATACATAGCTCTCTCTTCCTCGTTTCTAGGTATGAACTTGTCATAGTCTTTCTAACTAAGACTGAGCTCTCTCTTCCTTGTTTCTAGTTCCTAGTCTGAGTCTCATTACCTTTCAATAATCCATTCAAGTCTTGCATATCAATTTCATCTGTTAGTCTTTGAGAACTTGTGCCTCCTTTCAAACTCCTTAGTTCTTTCTGTGATATTCCTGCTGTTATCCGTGTTAATGATGTGGTTTGTGATTTGACCATGTTGTTGTTATTTTTGCATGACTACAATGTGCTACAAACTGTTGCTGATTATCATGGTGTGACTGTGGAGTCTATGCTTGGGCCAGTTCATGTTCCTACTTTTGATGGTTAGTATAATTCTCATCAAACCTTTCATCCTGTGTATTTGAGTGGATGTGATGTCAAGCTTGGACATGATTGGCTCATGTCTGTGAATGTGAAGATCAACAGGACTCAATTCCAAAGGCCTTCAGAAACAGACATCACTCTGTTTTCCAGTGGTCATAGCTGGAATTTCCAGTCCCAAGGTATGTATATTGTTTCTCATCACATTGATATAAGATAATAATTTGTCTTCTTTGTCTGTTTTTATAGACCAAGAAGTAATGTCAGCTACCCAAGCAGGAAACTCTTTGGCTTCCCAAGTGGGTCCTTCTATTGACCATGCTTTGGACAATTTTGGTGGTTTCAAAAGCTTGTCCAAGTTGGCTCTAAGTGAATTGGTAGTTGCACATGGCCTTTGGGTGGATTCTAATTTGTCTATGGAATATTTATGACAGGCTTTATCTCAGCATGTTGGTACAGGAATCTGTGGATCTCACTCATTGTGAATGTTTGAGGGATGTGAATTTGTGTGTCAGAAACTCAACATGTTTTGTGGTGATGACCAGGTTGTTCTTTCTGTAAGGATAGTGTTTTTGACATCAATATTGAAGACAATGAAATGATGACCTTTAGAACAGCTATTGGAAGTGAATCAAATTAGTTTTGAGGTTGGTTCAAAAATGGGACAACTTTGGCGCACATTAAACAGACATATCAAATCACTACTGAAAGCAAAGTCAAAATCCTCTGCAAAAATCCAGATCCAAGTGTGTCTACATAATCATAAAAATTGTTGTCATCAGCTTTCTCATGAATAGTCCCAGGTTCTATCCTCACAATTGAAGTGAATGCATCATCCAGGGAACAAACCACAACAACAAATAAATAAACAACAAGATGGCTTAAAGCAATAGATAGCTGGACTGAATTCTAGCTAGCAAAATGCAAAGGATGGTTTTACAGTGCCAGTGACTATATAATAGACTTGCTTGTCCAAAAAAAAAACCATAGCAGGCTTTGCCACATGCAGCCTTTCACATTATAAGACATATGGCTACTACATGTATGTATCAAGCTAAGTCTGTTTGTTTATACATGATCAGTAAACCCATACTTACACTGTATGACAGCCATATATGGCCATACAAATATGGCAACATACAGGACCTTATACCCATATCCCATACCATGAACTCAAGGTCTAAACAGCTAACAATATGTGTATGGTGGCCATATCATGGCCCTGTAAACTCCCATTGTATGGCATATGGTGAACAGCCCTAGCCCAGCCTGAGGTGTGTTGGATGTTCAACTTCATCACCTACTCTACATCTACACCTTATAATCTTGTTGTCACAACTTGTTTGTACCTCAGCAGTTCTGTTCATGACACTGAGGTATGTTCAATGTTTCTTGCACACTGTTCTAATCTCATTATACTTCATTTCTAGACTGTCTTTAGTTCTACTTTTAACAGTTGGTTTATCTGAGCATGGTCTTGATCCTCTTGTTGAGCCATCTCTGGCTTAAGCATGCTCTAACTTGACTTCATCAAGCATGTCAAAGTAGGGTCCAGCAATAGTTGAGACATGCTGTCCCAGTGTAGCAGATAACTTGGCTGATACAGCCTTCAATGAGTGCAATATTTGCATAAACTTTGGTGATATGTGAGCACCTGTAATTGTCAATGATGGCAAGGCAGGCCATTGTCAGGATTTGTTGGAATGAATCCCCTGATATCACCAGTCCTGAGGCTGCAGCCATTCTAGTAGACTGTATTTGGGACACTGAGCTGGCATTTTCAGTGGATATGGGTTGAAGAATGATTGAATCAAAGATTTAAATATGTAGCTTGAAATTTGAGGATGCAGATGATGCACGAGCGGACAGTGCTTTGTGAGGGCAATCTGAGCGACGACAGAGGAATTTAGACTCGTCGATAAGTCATATATATTCATCGAGAGGGGTTTTGGATATGTAAGCTGCTCAGGCTGAGTCACGAGGTCGAATTTGACCAGCATCGCGAATTGATTCAGCCAGGTCAAACAAGTTAAACCACGAATAACTACTGGGATTGGGCATACGTTAGACGATGGTAAGCCTAAGACATTTGGCATATCGAGCGGGATTCCCTATCTGGGGGCAGGCGATCCCCGAACTGTCCAGCGGGCTCGAGTTCCTGGACTCCACAAATCTCAGACTTTCTAACCACGTCGGTCATACTCACAGGCCAACAGTCTCAAATTGGATAAATGGAGCCAAGGCCGCATAGCAGTGCGCAGTTCAGACGGGAGAATAGCGCAATGGGAATGGCGTCGAGAAATAATGATATCGGCGCATTTGCCGATCAATATGATCCTCAGTAGCATATAGGTGACAGGAGAGATGAATGGTATTGCTCCTTAAGAACGATAGCATGTATTGTAACTATAGGGCCAAATAACTAAGATACTGAAACGATACTGAAAAGAAAGACGCACTGCAGTATTAACTCTAGCGTCTACTTGAGCTTGGAAAACAATTTTGGTGCAGCACACGCCTAAGTAGAATGTTAAGCGAGACCTTTCGAGGGTGGCGACAGAATATACATACGTCGGCACAGTGCATCATGCTGTATTATGACGCCGTTAACGAGGATTCCAAGGAGAGGGGAAAGAACGACTCACTGGACTGCATATCAAGTAGTCGGAATAAGAAAAATCAATATGAATGCCATGAAGATAACAACATAGGTAACCTACATCTATAATCATAGTATATGAGCGTTATGCAGAAATTAATATTCAAATACCAACTCACAATTCCTCCACACAGTCCTCGCCTTTAAAGCCTTGTCCAGATTGCACCTTCTCTTGGCAGTGTTCGAAATGTCTCGTTAGAGAAGCGCATGCTGCTGAGTTTTTGCACTCCTCCATAATGATAGGGTGAACCTATAGACCGGAGTGACATTAACAGAAGAGGACGATATTGATATCCGGAATGGAGACATACGTCCTCAGCTTCCACTTCCTCTTCCTCCTCAGACCCTTTCGATGGTTCCCCCACCTCAGCAACTTCCTCCTCCTTCATTTCGTTTTCTGGCCGCTTCTCCTCCGGTGCGTCACAGTGCACAGTGTTGAAGAAAGACGAGAAAAACGATGTCACAGACATGGACGCGACTGACTTTACAGTTAGACTTTACACGAGAGAACAACTTCGCGAATTTCCGGGTTGATGCCTTGAGGCGCCGCTTCAACCAATCCACACGGCTATGTCCGAGACTCCGAGTGCTTGGTTTGGCGTCACTACTGATCATGCACATGAACGTTGAACACCGACTCTAGTGCGAAGTTGTTCCCTTGCACTTTAGAGGTTATACAAGTGTAAAATCAAATCATGTCAATCCTTGACCTACACACGGTACAATATTCCAGGATGTATAATGCTTCAGAGACTGTTGTTTAAATTGGTCATTAACTTGGATTCCGAAAACCTGGTTAACACCTTGTTAACACCGGGCTCGGACGCGATAATTGCCACCCCGAAGCCTCCGCAGTCATCTTGTTTCATATCAAAAATACGCACTTATTGTGGCGGTCAGTCACTAACAGCCTGAAGAATAGGAAATATAATCTTCAGGATCTACACATTGTCGTACCAATATATCTCGGATGCCGGTCGACGCAGTGACAACGAGTGCCTTTCCTGTCATTATTTCATTCGTGCTAATAGGTTTTAATTTCCCTGCTATTCAGAACTATGTTTCATATGATAGGTTTAACTTGGCCGCGGACACACGAAGATCCTTTCAGGTGAAACAGAAATAGCCTTATCGACCATATGGGTGAACTGATTGCAATATGCCACACAGCGCTTTCTTTGACAATGACATGCACAAGGATGGAGAAGCACCTGACCTTTTAAAATGTCATGCCGGATAAGAATTTTCATAAAAGCTTGGACCTGCATGATCCAATGTCATCTCTGTGTGATATGACTTCCAACGGCATCCAGGAGAGTGGACCGGGTACCTTCAACCCCAACGACCCTGCTTCTCCGGTCCTGAAGGAGAAGTATTTATCATCAGCTGCTAGCGATGACATATCTACGGCCGAGCGCAACTCTCAGGATGATAATAGTGATAATGAAAAGCTCGTGTCTGGTGGACGTTTCATTAATACCGACGATCCTTTCCCCCTCGATCCCGACGCTCCCGTGGAAGAGAGACAGTTGACCGTCAGGGCTTTGCTTGTCGGCTGCCTGCTCGGGGCAGTTATCTCCGCAAGCAACGTTTATTTAGGTTTGAAGGTCTGTGAATATCTTTTGGGAAACTTCAAATTCTGAAGCTGTATACAGACAGGGTGGACCTTTGGAGCATCACTATTTGGATCGATATTTGGTTTGGTTGTATATATGGTACGGCGCAAGTGTAACTTACCGTTAATTTGCAGGTTTCGCCATCCTCAAGCCCTTTTCTAACGCAGCACCGCGCTGGCTTGGAGGCGGCTATTTTGGTCCCAAGGAAAACAATGTATGCCAATCTACAGCGTCTGCTGCAGGTAGCCTTGGTTTGCTTTTTACCTCCGGCTTTCCTGCTGCGTACCAGCTTGGTCTTCTCGGTGCAAGTCCTCGAGATGATATTGGTCGACTATTCACGTTTACTATTTGCTGCGCTTTCTTTGGTCTTGCATTTTCCATCCCGCTCCGGAAGTTCTATATTTTGAAGCTCAAGCTCGTGTTTCCTTCTGGTGTTGCCGCTGCGTACACGATTCGCTCGCTCCACGTGGGCAAAACCGCTGCGACGAACGCTAAGAAAAAGACCAAGGCATTGATAATCTCTTTCTGTTTTGCGATCACTTTGCGCGTCATCAGCGAATACGCTCCCGGGCTTCTTTGGGACTGGCATATTTTTTATGCGCTCAATCGACTGGGGTGGGAATACATCATTACCGCAGAGAGTTGGGTCAGTCTGTGCTGTTGTACGAGATATACTTGTCTTCTAAAGTACAACAGGGGTGGATTTGGGAATGGACACCGGCGTTCATTGGTGCAGGGATGCTCACAGGAATCAACTCATCATACAGTTTCTTGGGCGGTGTGAGTTTGTTCTATGTTCTGCATGGCTATCCTATATAATGCCTGCAGAGCTTCCTTGCATGGGCTATCATCGGACCTGTTATTGTTCATACGGGCAAGGTATGCACAGAACCCCTTACTCGCCGGCGTATCTGACAGGATCACAGGCCTTCGGCATTCCGGCGGTTACATCCATCCCTGGGCAAATGAATTATGCATCAATGTGTGTGACTTTCATCCTTGTTCAAATTCATCTCAGCTGAACCAGTTGTCTGGAGGTCTCTGACTGATCCCGTTAATCAGCCGTCGCCGCGATACTGGCTGGTAAGAGACTCTTCTGAAGATTGTAGATCCATTATGCTCATCGTATGCAGGTCTGGCCCGGCACACTCATGCTACTTTGCACGAGTTTCACCGAAGTCGCCTGCAACTGGAAGTCCATCTACTCGGCCGCGCGCATTGCGATAGGTGCACTCGCGGAACGTTTCCACGGAGATTCACACGAAAAGAACAATGTAGAAGAGTTCGTGGATCCTGTACCACCTGAAGACCGGGTTCCATTCTTGCTCTGGGGTGGTGTGCTCGTCGCTAGCATCGTAGTCACATGTGTTGTCATGGGTGTTCAGTATGGCCAGAACGTTGGTATCACAATTCTCGGTGAGACATGACTCCTTCATTATGATCAGTGCTTGAACGTCAGAATCCAGCCATTGTCTTCGCATTCGCATTTAGCTTCATTGGATGTGAGAGTTCTGGCCGCACAAACATTAATCCTGTGACATCCATTGGTGAGTGCATCTGGGAACCTGTGATTCTATACTGACAGGTATCTCGAAAGGTAATGCTTCTCAACTTATTTTTGGTGGTATTGGCAAAGGGCAGGGGTATTCAGTTCGGAGAGGCGAGCTCTTGAATTCGTTATCAGGAATGCTTGCTTTGGGTATGTAACATGCCTCTCTGAACCACTACTCCTCACACGCCATTCCTAGGTGCTGCTGAGCAAGGTCTGTAGTCTATAGACCATACTTTGAGCCGCCCGCAAATACTCATTTGCCACGTAGCCGCTGATATGATCAGTGATCTCAAAACGACCCATCTTCTCAGAGCGTCCCCCAAAGCTGTCTTTTACGGTCAGCTGACCGGTGCCATCGTGTCCATCTTCATGTCCGCCGGTGTCTACATTGTTTTCTCAGTTGCATATCCATGCATCAATGATCTTTCATACACTACTTGCAGTTTCCCGACACCTGATGTGCAATCTTGGAGGGTGGGTTCTTATTCATCAGACTGTACCTTTCATTGCATGCTACTGATCAATTCAACAGGCAGTTGGGATTGCAGTCTCATCGTCGACCCTTCCCATCCCACCATCATCAGGGTACACGGCGATAGGATTGGGCATCGCGGCTGTGATTTCGGTTGTTGCGAAGCATACTGTCGTCCCGCCGAAATACCACAATTGGGTTCCGTAAGTTTCTCGGTACCTTACCTCAAGAGAAATCCTTACAAATTGACCACACAGGAACTTCAATGCCATCGGCATCGGTTTCATCATGAGTAAGGAACACTTCGAAGTCATTGAATACTACTAATGCTATCACCCTCAAAGATGTATGCACCTACCCCTTGGCTATGTTCTTCGGCTCTACAATCGCTTTCTTCTGGCGCAGAACGTACGTATCTCTCCCAACTAAATTTTGACTAGTTTACAGGCTGTTCAGGTTCTTCAACCACTATGAGATGTACTGCTTCGCTGTAGCTGCCGGGTTCATTGCTGGGGAGGGCCTGGGCGGCATCGTGACTGCAGTGTTGACGATAGCAGGAGTTTCTGGTGCTGTATATGGAACGACAGTTGGCTGTCCGGGTGGGGTATATTGCGGTTAAGCCTATCGTCCGGTGGCATTGTACTAGTATGTAATTTTGACGCTGGGTTATGAATTTGGTGAATATTCGTTTACTGCATGATTTCTTAGACAAGGTCCATATCATTTCACTTCTTGGTTATGTTATATTTCGATCGCAAGCTCAGCACTTTTGGCTGACGGAACTATCTGGGACCACCGCAGCAGGTAAGTATGGGCACTTTTGATTTCCTGCTGTCAACTAGTAGTCATGGGGCTGCGGAGAAGAAATAAGCAGATGGGCTCCCGAGGACTCTACAGCTGACTCTCGCTATTCCAATTATACCGCTTATCACTGAAGTATCTCTCACTGATAAGCCTGACCTCGTGCCTTGCCCCTCAAACACATTGGCATGGGCGAGCTCAGGATAGCATATATACGTCGCCTCTTTGAGCAGTGGTATCGTAACCTCAAGTCCAAGTCTGCCTAGTGGTTTAAGGATGGCGACTGCAGCTTCTCAGGACCAGGACCGATTATCCTATGTACAGTCCTTATCTTCTCACTCGGAGAAGGAGAAGAGTGCTGTCACCGCGGACATTACCTCCGTGTCTGGTGGCTCTGAGGGGCTAGAAACGCACGTGCAATCCATTAGCACAGATGATCCATTTCCGGAGGATCCGGATGCCCCTGTTGAGGACCAACAGCTAACTGTTCGAGCCGTAGTAGTTGGCTGCATTTTGGGGGCCATCATCGCAGCCAGCAACATCTACCTGGGTCTCAAAGTCAGTTATCCTTCCGATATGCAGTGAGGGGTTTATTAATGCATGCACTCATCCTTTCACGCAGACGGGGTGGACGTTTGGCGCGTCGTTGTTCGGCTCAATCATAGGCTTCGCGATCTTGAAACCACTCTCAAGAAGTGCACCGACTTTTCTTGGTGGGGGCTATTTTGGGCCTAAAGAAAACAATGTTTGTCAATCCGCCGCCACGTCAGCGGGAAGCCTGGGGTTGCTCTTTACCTCGGGTTTCCCTGCCGCATACCAACTGGGGCTGCTGAGCGTTCATCCCAAAGACGACATCGGCAGACTTATCACTTTCACGATTTGTTGCGCCTTCTTCGGTTTGAGCTTCACTCAACCGCTGAGGAAATTCTACATTTTGAAGTTAAAGCTCGTATTTCCCTCCGGCGTGGCCGCTGCGTACACGATTCAATCTTTGCATGTGGGCAAGAACGCAGAGGTGATAGCGAGGGAGAAAACCAAGACGCTGATCTATGCCTTCATCTTTGCCATTCTTTTACGGGTGGTCAGCGAGTATGCTCCAGGATTGCTTTGGGATTGGCACGTTTTCTACGCTCTGAATAGAGTCGGGTGGAGTTCAGCGATCGCCGCTGAGAGCTGGGTGAGCATATCATCCGTTATAGGAACGTTTGTCTGATTATCAGCCGAAAGGGATGGATTTGGGAATGGACCCCCGCGTTCATTGGCGTAGGGATGCTCACAGGTATCAATGCCTCGTATAGTTTCCTCGGTGGAGTATGTGTTATTATTACGACTGCATACGGTCGCTAATACGTTACGATATACAGAGTTTCCTCGCTTGGGCTGTTTTGGGTCCTATAATTGTCGCCAAAGGAATAGTCCGTGCAAGACTCTTCATATGTAGTTACATACTGACCACTATTGAACCACCTATGGCAGGCTTTCGGGATCGTTGAAAATCCATCTATACCTGGATACATGAATTATATGGGAATGTGGGTCGTCTGTTATTTCCTTCGTATGAAAATCTCACTGTTAGCAGGACTCTTCAAAATCCGATTCAGGAGCCATCTCCGAGATACTGGCTGATCTGGCCTGGCACACTAATGCTTCTCTGCGCAAGTTTCACAGAAGTAGCATGTAATTGGAGGTCACTATACGCCGCAATGCGCTCCGCTTGCGGAATGTTCCTGCAACGGTTTTCAAAAAACGGTGTAGTGGACGATATCGTGGACCCCGTACCTGAGCACGAACGTGTGCCTTTTTGGGCTTGGGGTTCTGTACTTGTCCTCAGTACGATCGTTATATGTGTCATAATGGGCGTTCAGTTCGGACAGAACGTTGGTGTCACTCTCCTTGGTGTGTCATCAACGCGTTAGATCGATTTTAAGAAGCTGATACTTCCCCTGCATCATATAGCGATTCTGTTCTCTTTTTTGTTCAGCTTCATTGGCTGTGAAAGCTCTGGTCGGACGAATATCAATCCCGTTACGTCAATTGGTAACTTTGTCGAATAGTCAATTCATTCACAGACGCTAACATTACTGACAGGTAATGCCTCGCAACTCATTTTCGGGGGATTAGGAAGGGGTCAGAACTACGCCGTCAAACGAGGCGAGCTCCTAAACTTGCTTTCTGGACTGTTGACGCTAGGTAAGTAACTAAATCGTTGGGCATCACAGGTGCTAAATTGTCGTGAATCAAACAGGTGCTGCGGAACAAGGTATCCCAGTTTTATTATCAAAACCTTGAAATTTTGTTGATGTGCGAATTAGCTGGGGACATGATTGGCGATCTCAAAACGACACACCTCCTCCGCGCGTCCCCCAGGGCTGTTTTTGTTGCTCAACTCTGTGGAGCTGTAGTATCAATTTTCATGGCTGCTGGCCTCTACGTCGTGTTTTCCACCGCTTACCCGTGCATCAACAATTTGAACTACACAACATGCGCCTTCCCCGCGCCTGACGTGCAGTCATGGCGTGCAGTGGCCGTTGCTGTGTCTTCAAGCACGTTGCCCATTCCACCATCTTCTGGGTATGCTGCCATCGCACTTGGGTTGGTTGCCATCATCTCTGTTGTGGTAAAGTATACTATGGTTCCTCCGAAATATCACGACTTCATACCGTGAGTGGTTTGCCACCGTGTTCCTGCTTTATCTGACATAGAAATGAAGCAACTTCAATGCTATTGGAATTGGGTTCATAATGAGTATGTGATCCATATCTCATTGATTGGCCGTCTTACTCACTTCGCAGACGTCTGCACGTACCCCTTGGCAATGTTTTTTGGCTCGACTATTGCATTTTTCTGGAGAAGAATGTGCGTCTAATAAATTCTTTAGATGCTCTGATAGCTTCTTCTGACATCTCGTACAGGTTCTTCAACAACTACCAGATGTATTGTTTTGCTGTGGCAGCGGGCTTTATTGCAGGAGAAGGTCTTGGTGGTATCGTGAACGCAATATTTACAATTTCAGGCGTCTCTGGTGCAACATACGGGACATCCGTCGGATGCCCTGGTAATGTTTATTGCGGATAAATGTTATGTAGGACTAGAGTCTAGACACAGCATGGTCTTGTCTGTCAGCATGTTATCATTCCCATGTCAACTAATACAGAACGTCCGGCCGTCTTCTTTCTAGCGGGTGTGTCTACGGGAGACTATATAGGTCACGCCACTGACGTGCCTGCGATCATATCGTCCAGCAGTACAGGGAAGAGGGATAACCAACCCAAACGCCTGCAGGGCGAGGCAGCAGGTCTACATAACCTTGCGTTCGTGCGTACGCGTGACTCCTGATTGTCTAACATTAGCCGTGTTCTACCTCGATCTTTTTAACATCAAGAAAATCCTCCCTTGTTAGAACAAAATAGATACAGTTAGAGCAAGTTATCCTAATTGGACGGATTAGAATATACACCTGGATACATTTGATTAGTCACTGAAAAGCAGGTCAGAAAGAGGCGAGCAAGCGAAATGAAAAAAAACCTTGCCAGATAACATCAATCATTGGGATAGAATGGTACGAGGCACTAAATCTGGCGAGATGCGAGCAAGTCAGAAAGTACCGGAAGTAGGATATGGTTGTGGTCGTAGCATCGACAGGTGAACAAGTGTCAGACTTCGGTGCAGATGCGAGAGGGAGAGCGAGGGTAGCGAGGGCACTGAAGTGGTTGAAAACATAATCATCAACAGCAAGAATGAGTAACTTTTACCCCTGAAAAGAAAAATTGGTCATGAGAACGGTGTCCGCCGAGCCTATGCCCTTCCCATGTCCAATTTTTCTCTGCCAGGCTGCACTCCGTGTGACCAAAGTACACACGGTCCTAAAGACTTGGAGTGGTCTCTTAAAAGACGAAGATAACCTTCCGGACAACTGGATCCGACAATCAGGGGTAAATTTAGTGGGCTTCGGGACGGAATAGGTAATTCCGAACAAGGCGCAATTTGAGTCCCACGCTGCTATCGCAGTATCTCTGGGTGACCATTAACTCTTAACTAGCGCGCGTGAAACCCTGGCCATACCCCAAACGTATCCTCTAGGATTGACCTTGTCAGTTGCCATAACATTGATAACATCATTATACAAACAAAAAGATAAGATAGTATATGCTTCTCATATTCGGTATTTGCTTTTTGCACCCCTCTTAGGCTGAGCAAGGTATTAGGCGGCAGCGCCGGCCCCTGTGTATATCATCGTGATGTGGCACCGAATGACAAATGCTTAGATACACCTTAGAAGCCCGGTGTCACGCTTCCCACCAACTCGTAGTCCTGGTCAATATTTCATTAGATGCTTAGTCGTCTCAATCACATTCGTACCGCCTTATTTTCTTTCGCGACGCCTGCGATGTCACATGCAATTGACACGTCCCATTATCGTGCTGCCTTGTCTTCAGGCAAGTACCGTTCCTTCGAATGTGTGGATCCAACCACGAACTCTTCGTCAATACAGGCACTCAAAGCGAGATTGCCACATTCGCTGGGGGGTGTTTTTGGGGTGTCGAACACATATTCCTGAAAGAGTATCCTCCTTCGCAGAACAAGGGCATCCTCAAGACGAGCGTCGGATACACCGGCGGGCTGGAGAAAGCTCAGAGCCCGACGTACAGAGAAGTGTGCACTGGAACAACCGATCATGCTGAGGCCTTGAGAATCGAATTCGACCCTTCCATAGTCCAGTACGGAGAGCTCGTTGGTGAGTTGCAGTTCTAGCTCCGTCACATAACCTGATCTGCCGCCAGAGTTCTTTTACCGCACCCATGACCCGACCACGTTGAACAGGCAGGGCGGTGATGTGGGCACTCGTGCGATTGTTCCCTTGATGTCATATTTAATGTCCTAATTGTCGAGCAGAGTACCGCTCTACGATTTTCACACATTCACCTGAACAGAGCAAGATAGCGAAAGACGTCACGCAGAAGGTACAAGAGGAACATTTCAAGGGCCAAAAGATTGTGACGGGAATTGAAGAAGCTGGGCAATGGTATGATGCCGAAGAATATCATCAGCTACATTTATTCAAAGAACCGAACGGATACCAGTGCCCAACACACAAGAAGCACTGGTAGATTGGATGAGATTGTTAACAGTGTAACTGAGTATTGGAATTGTATAGTAAACACCAACTTCCAGTTATCAGAATGACCACAATCAAAAGCCGCCATCAGAGTTGCGAAAGCCCGTCCCTTTACAAATGTAACAAGGAGAGTGGTGCCGAACGGGCAATGTCAATGCGAACCCTGTATAGGGTCTGACTCAACTCTCTGCACCGTCATTTCTCGTCATTGGCGTCTTTGATTGTGGAAGGATGAAAACCAAAACATTTTCGTCACGAATGTTATAAGGCGGAGGCGTGGGAAATAATGTGTGTGAATATCGCTTCCATTTTGGACCCATGCACTTGAAGAAAGACCTGCAACAAACTTTCATTTGCACGTTCATCGTATCTCGCAGTACTATGTCGTGCCACGGGGCATGAAGCTGTAGCTAAGCGCTGAAGTTTGGCGACAAAATTATGGATCCGTATGGCATCGCACTTGATTCCATCAGCGACATACTCAGATGCTTACCTAATTCTGTTGATTGTGGTCACCAAGTGACTTGGCAATGCTCACGCACTCACGTTGGTTAACCATCATCTACAAGATCGAGGTTTTCTAATCGATGCCAGCTGCTCATCGAGTCCCCGAGGGTAGCCCTGTTGCTGCATTTCTATCTGAATATGCTTCTGACACTGAGGTATATGTTAGCCATCTTGACACCACTGACGTGTCAAGCCGAAAGCAAGTCGCACGTTTGGGCTCGAAGACGAGAAGACTTAACATACTTTCCATCGCAGGAGGCACTTCCTTTTCATGCTGGGTGCCAATATTGCATGGTCTTTTCTGCTTGGCAAACGCATATACGGCGCTCTGCACCGCTACGGCATCCTGTTCATCCTTGGGAAAATACTACCAATACTCAAGGCCCCACCTCCTGTGGTGAACTGGCCTTTAGCAGGTCAACTGTGCATGGACATGTTTTTATTGTCCGTCTTGCTGCCCTTGATCAACAACTTCATCACCATCATCAAACTGCGATACCATCATGGATTTCCAAAATCTGAAATTGTCTTCCGAAAACCTAGTTCAGCAACCGTTGCAGATATTGTTTCTCAGCCTCCGGACAAAAGGGATTCATACATGAATGAAGTTCTGCGTCGTGCCGTTGATCCCGAGGAATTCAAACAACCAACTTGGGGTATGCCCTGGGAAGAGTGGACCGTAGACTTCCGGGCGATGGCAGTTGCGTACGAGGCGGAGAAGAAGGGTTTGATTTCTAGAGATGCATGGGAGCTAAGCGTATGGATGAAGATGAAGGAAGGCTGGACCGTAATTGAGCACGGGAAAGTCAGTGACCCCTTAAGCCAAGTTGGTGTGATGGAAAAGCTTCAAGTACGTAAAGTATTGTCTTGTGTTGCACACGCTTATGACGACCTTAGCGTAAACTCACTGCCATGGGCAAACGACACGTGTTTACTCAGATGATGGAAGTTATTCAGGTCAAGACTGTCGCGAAAGACGGAACTGCGCTGCCTGTCACCGAGGAAGTGGACACAATTATTGCGGACATTTTTCGCCGGAATGAGGTGGATTTTGCGCAGTTGACAAGCGAACTAGCCACAGAATCTCCCCGTTTTGCAGCTAACTCGTCAAAGAAAACGAAGTAGACGTGTCACATTCTGAGTATCTAGTACGTGGTACTCAACTAACTAGCTGGACATCTTGAAATTGAATACCCGTGTAGGTCACGGGTGCATCGGAATTACCACGAGAAGTAGAATTATCTCTGTTTCTTCGCTTATCACCGGTTGAGTGGCGGTTTCCTCAGCACGTTGGTATCGAGTCACCTGGTCTAGGTTATTCCCTATCATGCTTAATGGTGTGAAGCAATGAGAAGAAATGTCCCATTAGTCCATTGCATCAACAAAACAGATACACGTCGAAACTGGAGGTCCTTATCCTTTAACTTGGCAGGCGGTAAGTTGCTTTACCTATAGCCGCTTATCAGCAACTACAAGAGATAAAGGTCGATTTGTGGGAGAGAGCTTCCGATAGTTTCCTCCTGACTTCAATTCTTATGATGAATTCGCCTCAAGCTCCATCTGGTCGCGGCTCCAGTGAAGAAGCAGAGAAACACGCTCATGGCATTGCCGTCGCGACAAAGGATGTGGACACCGGTGCAGCACTTGTTGCGGGTATGTCCGGCGACCTCGATCCGGATGATGCAGCACGAGTTCTGTATGTTTGCTCTAGTGGTTTCACAACTCGACTTATCACCGTGTGTAATATTCAGGAGGAAAATCGATTTTGGCATCTTGCCGATGATGTGCAGTGAGTGGCTTTTGTGTTCGACACTATACATTCGACTTAGGCTCGGGTGCACAGCACTTTACTGGTGAATTCTCTTTGGAGATGCTGAATATACCCCTCCTGATTCCCTACCTAGGATTCAGTTTATGGATAAGGCTACCTTGGGCAGTTCTGCAATATTGGGCATACAGTGAGACTCTTGCAAATTCCATCACCAATTAGTGAACGGTCTTGTCAGGAAAGACACTCACCTGTCTACTAATCAGTGGGATTATTCTGTATTTTGTACGCACTACTCATTCTTACATCGCCATCGTACAGGTACAATTGGTGTGTGTTCACTCGATTAGTAGTCATCCTCAACTGAGCGATTACATCAGGCTGGGCACTGTGTTCTACCTTAGCTATCTACTATTCGAATATCCGCAGAATCTTGCGCTCCAGCGTTTCCCCGTGGGTAGATGGATAAGGTCTGTATACCTCCAAGCTCCTCTGAAGCCATCTAATCGTCAGTAATTTTTCGACTAGTATCAATATCTTTGTCTGGGGCATTTCGTTGGCCTGTCAAGCAGCCTGCACCAACTTCGCTGGCCTTTTCGTAGCGCGGTTTATTCTGGGCATGTGTGAGGGGTGCATCACAGCTGGCTTCATGATTGTCAGCTCGATGTTCTATACTCGCAGTGAGCAAACATCGCGGTTTGGGTACTGGTGTAAGTTTGTATCATGCTCAGACATCGTATCTTGATTAATAATACACTGGTAGTTCTCATGAATGGGACAGGTAGTCGTGGTTTTATCATGTCTCTGCTCTTGATGAACTTTAACCACGCGGTGTTCAGCGCAGATTATATCTGGTTTTATCAGTTTTGGTTCGCTGCATATCACAACTCTGCGATTTGCACCATGGCAGTGGTAAAGCATAGCTGGATTGTGAATGCGAGCGACACTAATGTCAATCATGTCCAGGCTCATGATCATTACTGGAATCTTAACCCTAATTACTGCAGTCGTCTACTGGTGCGCCAACCTCGGACTCATCTAATGTTCGACTTCTCACTCAGTTTTAGGTTCTTTTTCCTGATTCGCCCACCAATGCGTGGTTTTTGACGCCCTCGGAACGAGCTATTGCGATCCAGCGCTTGAAGGTAAATCATCATGGTCCGTAGTTTCGCGCCAACACAATGACCAATTTCTGCTGTAGGAAAATCAAACTGGCGTAGAGAACAAACATTTCAAGAAGGATCAGTGCGTGCGCCATTCCTTGGCACTCATTAACCTCAACGCCACTTTTACAGGATGTTAGAGGCTTTGAAAGATCCAAAGACATGGATCTTTGCTCTCTTTGCTGCGCTCGATCAGATACCGAACTCGCTCAGCAATCAACGGCAAATCATTATGACAACAATTGGTTTCAGCGACCTGCAAACAACCTTGTTGAGCTGTGTTGATGGTTTCATGGAAGTTGCAACCATTTGGACTGGTGTCATGATCGTCTCCCGGATACCAAACAGTCGTGCTTACGTCGGCGCGGTGTACTTCATCCCGGCTTTGGTTGGGGTACTCATGTTGAGTTCCTGCCATGGAGCGATCAGATCGCCTTGCTTTTTGCCATTTGGCTTGTGGATATCGGGATCACTGGATTCGTCCTATCTCTGGCCTGGTTGACCAGCATTACTGCTGGGCACACAAAGAGAGTAAGTCACAGGCCAGTCAAAATAAGGTAACAGAAGGCTAAGTAAACTAGGTGACCACGAATGCAATCGTGTTGAGCGGGTATTGCCTTGGTAATGGTCTGGGGCCGTTCATGTGGCTGTCACAATATAAGCCACGGTAAGTGTTGAAGTTGTCCAGGTGTCAGAATGTCGGCATCGTCTAACTTTACCATTCCAGCAACCGCGTACCTTGGATCGTCATTGGGCTTTGCTACACCATTTGCCCCTTACTTTTACTCATCATCAGGTTCATGCTATCACGAGAGAATAAGAAACGGGACGCTGAGCCTGTCAATGGTAACTTCGAGGAAGTCTACATCGAACAAGTCACTGCGGATGGAAAACGGATTGAAGTCAAAGTCGATAAAGTACGTTCAAACTTGCCCAAAACAATCAAATTCTGATATAGTGTGCTTGTTGCCATGTGCAGGAATTTCTAGACCTGACAGACATCCAAAACCGCGATTTCCGTTATGTTCTGTAGAGACCTCTTGTTTTGTTTGTATGTTCCTCAAAGCAACATGATTAGCCGCACCTCAGTATGATCCGTTGCACTCGATTAGTTGAGTTGATAACCATAATCCGTATGGGTGAGAACAGTGCTCCAATGAACCGAATGGCTTTCCGACGCAGTATGATTGCAGAGATGGTACACGCGGCTCGTTATACATTCGTTACGCAATATAATACTCTATACTCATAGGCGACACGAGGAAACGAAGAAACAAAGAAATAAAAATAAAAAGTCACAGAAAGGCGCAATACGAACCACACCGCAAAAAAGCAATAATGATCAGGATCAAGCAGAAAATATAATCTCATGGAAGGAAAAGAATGGGCTATAAAAACAGGAAGAATAATGTTCCGTATTCGGTATTCAGCTGTCGGTGTTATCGACCCCAGCCACTGCTTCCCGTACGTCCCCGCGATCGTGGCGCCCACCCACGCTCTCGTTCCCAATCAAGACGATCACGGTCATGACGATCACGATCAGCAGACGGTCCACGAGGAATGTATTGCGAACCGGTATACACGCGGCTACTGGGAGAAGAATATGTCGGTGGATGGGATGATTGACTGCTTACTCTCAGTGCCCGTGGCCCACTGGGTAAGGGGCGCGAAGGCCCATTCAAGGAAGGAGTGCTGGACAAGGGTGTTCTTGTCAGCGGAGGTGGGCCGCGCCAGGAAGCTGAAGATGACGCGGTGGATGTGGATGTGACATGGGTAAAATTAGGAGACGAGGGATGCGAGGTCTGAAATGAGCGGGGCTGGGTTGGAGGGGTGTAAGATCGGGGAAAGAAATGCGATGACTTTGGAGGAGAGGCACTTGTGATTTCACCATCTTCGTGAGAGGGTCTAAGAGAATAGGAAGCCGGAGCGGAAGGGGGTAGGGGTAACGAAAAAGTTTTGGGTGATGGTTGTCTTTCTGTGCCCTTGGTCTGCTGGCGCAATGGAGGTGGAGGTGGGTCCGGCGCAGATGGCGATGCCCTATCATAGGCACCCACAAGTCCATTGGGCATAGAAGTCTCCAGTATCTCGATCTTGGCCACAAGAGAAACGGATTCTGCAAGCTGGCCGTCAGGATGAGCGTTATCCATGCTACGAACAGATCTCGGGGATGCAACGGGAGACCTCGGTGAGGATGGAGGAGCGCCTCGTGGCTCAGATTCACAGCGCCGCCGACTCTCAGAAGGTGGATCTTCCAGCACGTGGTCCACTACTTTCTGCGTGGCAGAAGAAGCGATAGGTTCGTCCTTCACCCCCTCAACAGCCAGCCGCACATCATTGCCACCATTCATCATCACATCCTGCGCTTCTCTCACATCCGACATGGTCACTTCCAATTCACGCTCTTGGTCCGTCCCCTCGGAATCCCCCCCCAGCCGTTCATCTGCACCATCCTCATCCACATGCATCCCTTCGTCCCCGCTTTCCTCTAGCGACCCCATACCCAGCCCACCAGGCGACTCACACTCCCGCTCCCGCTCCTTCGCCATTTCTTCCCGCTGCTTCTTCTTCCGCAGGGCAAAGTCCTTTAGGGACATCTTTACCTTTGGAGGAGGCAGCGGTGACTGTTCGCGTGCGGGTGGCGTGGGTTCATGTGTTGCTGACGTAGATTTGTGTATAGGTAGCGCGGGATCACACGATGGAGGTGGTGAATCGGAATCACGGAGGGATGATGTTGACTTGCATATCGATGGCACAGGTGGAGTTGGATCGCGCATGACTGATGACATGGACGCATGTGCATGTGGCGTTTCATCTGGTGGGACAATCGTGACCTCGTGAGAAGTTCCGTCATGTACAGGACTCCTGTCTGACTGTGGTACAGCATCCACTGCTGAGCCAGCTGTTTTGTCATCTTCAGGTGGAGGGGTATGCGGATCCATAGGAGGCGTTGCTTCCCTCCCCGATTTAAGCGGAGTATGCTGAGTAGTCTTCAGGGACGGTTGCCCATGTAACACCTCTGGGGATGCAAACCGCACACGATAGGGCGAAGAAGCGTTTGGCATCGATGGATTGGACAATTGCGGATAGATTATGACTTGTGCGTTCGATGCGTCTGAAGGACTCTTGCTATTGGATGGCTGATGAGGCGGAGGGGACGATATCGGCATAGGACGCCTAGACGAGCTTGTCAGAGGCACTCCAGAGAGGGATGGTGACCCGGAGCGCATATCAGGCAGAACGGGTGACAGAAGAGATAGTTTTGAGAATGTCGCTGAGGGCGAGACGGATGCGAATGCGACGGAAGAAATGGTTGTGGGGTCGAGAGCTGCTGGCATTGGTGGTGGTGGCATTTGACGGATGTCTATGAAGGGAGAGGGTCAGCTAACATGCGGCACACAGGAAAAGCAATGCAAAAATCCATACGCAACAGAATTATCCAAAGCAAAAATAAAGCTCACCAGGAGACGTATCGTTCACATCGATATCCATTGCGTCCACCGTGCTCTCGGGTGATGGCGGCGAGGGGGTGTCTCCAGACGTTGGTGCTGGACTGTCCGCCGACGGTAATATCGGGCTTCTCCAGTCTGCCGTAGACACAGGGGTGGGTGGACTATGTCTACTCAATATCTGTGAACTATGCACATGCGCTCCCAATAGGCTTTGACCATGCTGTCCATGCGAACCTGATAGGCTCTGTCCGTTGATAGAAACAAATTTTCTCTCATTCCGCGAAGAGGCACGCTTGTCACGATCATGAGACACGGACACAGACACAGTATGCATCCACCTCTTACGCATCCTCGGCGGAATCTTCTCTTCGTTGACGTCCATCGAGTCGGGACTAGAGCCTGCACAAATAAATAAAATACTGGGCATGAGCAAGTCTGGGTTAAGGGGTAGAGGGGTGGGGTATGGTGGATGAGCGCACGCTGAGAAAAGAAAAATACGCGCCGCAGAGCGAACACACCAAAGGTCAAAAGACAGAAGAGCAAACTCACCATCGCCCTCCACGTCCACATCTGTGTCCACATCTGACTCCTCCATCGCACGTCCCTTGCCCTTCCTATCGCTTGTCCTCGTGGAATTCGAAGTTCGTGGCGCACTCGAGGCAGAAATCAGTAGGACGCCAATTTGACGGTCCTCCATTGGGTCCCAAGTTCGAAGACCCAGTAGGAGTATTGAAACTTGAAGGCCACACGTCAGGTCCTGCACTCAATAACCCACCACTCGACCCAGCACCAAACCCTCCAGTCGACCCAACCCCAAAACTGACCCCTGATCCCGATGGAACCATCTCCACACCACCAACGCCCCCACCAAACGGCACTTTCTCCCGCGTCCTAAAGCCGCGCTTCGCACCGATTAGCGGACCGAGGTCTATTTTCCGGGTGAAAGTGGATGATGATGGTGTGTTCCCATTCAAACCGTTTGTGTTGAAATTGGCGCCACCGTTCCCATTGGTACTAGTTGGGTTCGCGTTCATCTGGATCCCAAGACCTACCGCACTCCGCCCATACTCATGTCCCCAATTCTCCTTGTCTGAGCTCGACCCATCGCCCGAATCTGCCTTCCCTGCCTGCCTTGCCCCATTCCCATTCATCATCCCGATGCCTATACCATTCGTTGTCTCGGCACCATTCATCGCCCCAGCGCCTACACCATTCAGCCCGACACCTGTGCCATTCATAGGCTGCTCTGACGCACGCGTAACACTAGATGCATCAAGCTCGCCGTCAACATACTGCGCCATGACGTTCAATACGCAGTCCCTTGCGCGGGCACCGCATGCGCACGTTGTGAATGTGGAGCTGAGGGCATGGAGGATTGAGGTCATTTGCGCGCGAAGGTGAGTTAGGTGGTACGTCCTGTTCGTGAGGGTGGGTCAGTAAGGGATGTAGGACGAGGAAAGGGAGTGGGGGGTGAAGTGGGAGTGGGAGGGTGAAAGGGGTAAACGCACGGAACGGTAAACGGTCCAGGATCAATTAGAAAGAAACAAAAAAAATGAGGGTTAAAAAAAGAGGACAGGATAAAAGAAAGACGCACGAGAACAAATGTGGGCTTTCGATGAGCGCTGGGAGACTGTGCACTGCGTTTCCATCGTCCCATTCCCAACCGAGAACGACTTCTTCGTTGGCTTTGAGGTCGCGCAGTGCGAATACGCCAAATGTTAAGGTTTCTTCATCTGAGTCTGTATTGTCATTCTCCTTCTTCTTCCCACTTTCCCTCCTCTCCCTCCTCGCGCTTTCTATCCCCTCTTTCTCGGACGACTCATTTGCCTTAGACTCATCCTTTGCCTTGGGGCACAGTAAGGGCCTCAGCACTGCATTTGGACGACACCCATTCCGGGCAAAGCGTCCCTCATCGCCGACGACCCTCGCATCGAGAGCAACGTCCAACGGCGGACCCATGAGGTGCACAAATGGCTTCGGCATACCGAGGTGGGCGTACGCATTGAGCGGGTCGGCAAGGTAAGAGGCGCTCGGGGTGATAGCGCAGGTAAACGGGGCAATGTAGCTGGATGAAGGGACCGGTGTAGTTGTGTGGAGGCTGTAGGTGGGCGGACGAACGAGGGGGTTGGTGTGTAGCTGACTTGGAGAGGGTGCAGGTGGAACTGGGTGGATCTGTGTACGGTTGGGATGTATGGGTGGTGAAAGGGCGGTGACGCCCCGCCATGCCTGGGCTTGTCTGCGGAGTCTGGCATGGGCTTCTGTTGTAACGATGTCTTTAGTGATAGGGACGTAGGACAGAGACCACGGTTCGTCGATGTTGACTGGCTCGTCTTCCCCGTGCTGTATTGGGGTCGGCGGTGGGTGCGGTGTCGACGGGGATATGATAGATGCTCTGCGTTTCTTTTTTGCATTTCCAGAGCCCTCGATAGCAGCAGCGCTGACTCGTCGTCGCTGTACGGGCGAGCCTGCCCTGTCTCGTTTTTTGCCCTTGTCTCTATCTTTTTCCTTGTCTTTTTCCCTCCCCCTGGCTTGCATCTCTGTGACACGTTGCTTCTGGAGACGGACTGCACGGTCACGGTTAACAGGACGGGGATCGCAGTCCCAACAGCGCCATTCTTCTGGGACCTCTCCCTCGACAATATCGAAGCATGCTGCATGGCACCAACGAGAGCAGACGTCGCAGGCAATGCTAAAGCCATCATCGAAGAGAAACCCACATATACAGCTGATGGCGTCTGCGTCTGGAAGAGGAGGGCTAGCTGATGGCGCTGGTTGTGATATTGTCGTAGGCGGTGGTCTTGGTGTCGAAATTGGTATTGGTTTTCTGATTTGAGGGATTGTATTGTTGTTCAGGGGAGAGAGGCTGAGGAGACCGAGTGCAGCCTCCGTTGCATCGCTGTTCATCGACGTTCCCGATGTTTCTGGTCTCCTGCCAATTTGCCGCCAACCAAGTTCTTGACCGACTCTTTCTCAATTCTACTCGATTGCACTCACCAGGATACAGTAAACACAAATCAACATCTGATTCAGCAACTCGGCACTCCCCGCACGGTCCAACGGGAGATCATGATTTACAGAAAATACCTCTAATCATCAACAAGGAGATGGGCATGAGTTGCAATCTTCACGATCCTTTCTGGCACACATATTGTAGTAGTGATGTTGTAACAGCACTCGCGATTGGTCAACACCAACTCATTTACATATTAGCCGTTCAGGTACCCGGTTGAAGGGTGCAGAAGAGAAATGAATTTCTACGTATACTCGACAAGTGTCTTGTTACGGAGAAGATAAAGCACGAGGTTGACCTGGCAGCCTCTACCGCCCAAAATCTTGCCCTTGTGCAGAGGCAAAGACGATGGGGAGAAAAAAAGGTGTCCGAGTCAGAACTTCCCGGGAAGGTTGTCTTGCTCTGTCTTGTTGGAGGACCCGGTTTAGTTGCGGAGCCTCCAGGCGGATTGTAATCTCACCCTGTCGAAAGAACACCTTGCCTACGACCTGTTCTCGGAGCACCAGATATTCGAGAAATTCGAGACTATCCAGCTTGGCTTTGAGCAATAGAGTACGCCCCGCACTAGCGACCATGAAATTAAAATGTCAGTGACACATGCCTTAGTAGAAGAATATGGGGTAAGGTTCATTCAATAGGGACGTTCAAAGTTGGGCGCCCACGCCCAACACCCACGACTCCCCTTGCCCATATACCACTTCCCGTTTTGTACTTGAACGAATGTATTATATAATCAATGATAACTGACAACACTTAACACTATCCGAAAACACATATCACACTCAATGGCCCGTCTTCGAACATCACGTGAGCAATACTTTCACTCATATCTCTTGCTTATGGTTCTATGTACTTTGTTTCAGCCAGATGTGACCCTCGAAGAGGCAGCAGCACAGCTGCACTGTGACTTGTCTTGCATTTTTGCTATTCAACAAACTTGTTATCTACAAGAGTGCTCCCCTGTGGCAAAAGCTGGCACCCTACACATTGCTTGGGAATATGCAAATTCTCCATCTGACCACTTTTGCTTTATTTATATGCTTCATGTTTCTCCAATGACCTTTCATGGAGGACAGGAAAGAATTGGAATTGCTCAACAATCTCATCTGCATAATGTTAGAAATATTTTGAGGAACATAAGGAACATACCCCAAATACACTGTGCCCTCAGAGTTGTGGTTGTATTGGGTCCATCAGTGGGGACATAGCATTCAAAAAATTCATTGTCAGAGATGTTAAGCATGCACCTTGTATTTTTTTGTCAGGCTGCATGATGCACTTGTAAGGTAGAAAATAATGAGAGAAGCACAACACTCACTACTCATACTTTCATTTGACTCAGTCCCCCATTGCAACAGCATTCTGGCTGTGTAATTGTGGGAAAACAGAAGCTGCCATGTGCTGATATACTGTCACTTTGCTATCACCTGCATGTTCTGGCACAGAAACATCACATCTCGTATCATATAACAACTTTAACTCACTCACCTCACCCTTCTTCTGCTTGCCTAGAAGCATGACTCTGTTCTCTGATAACTCAATCTGTGCCAATAGCTGCCAGACTAAGTCATTGGTCCAAACAATCTCCAGGATTGTGACACTGCTATCCTTCTTCTTCACCATATGCGCAGATCTGATTGATGTGACAGTGAGTACAAGGTAACAGCTAATTGTTAAATTTTTAGATTTACATTTGTATTATCTAATTATGCAAACTACATTTTAGGTGATGTCCTGTGGGTGAAGGGGTCATGGGCATAGGTGTTTGGCGTGGGTGCCCAACTTTGAATGTCCCTAATGTGTCACATTAGACTCATGACCAGTCCATCTATAAGGCAAGCCACCTGACCTTCCCAATAGGTAAGCTTTACTATACTGGGTGATTATGCATATCACCAAGTATTATTGCACTTAGTTACAATAATACCCAACACCAGTGTTAAATGCTGTCCCAAATCCCCCCAGACCTTAAGGTATTTCTATAGTAGAAGCTTGGTAATGCCGTATCCTGCCCAACATTGTGCTCCCATGCCCTCTATGCTTTTGGTAAACATACCTGTTTCTCTGAAGTGCAGTTCTCATGCCCCTTACCAGTGTTCATCATCATTGCCAGTGCCCTCTACCACTATCACTACCATATGATGGCCCTCCTATGTCCATCAGCCTATTCTGGCTATTGTACAGATCTCCTGTGGCCCTCACCAGCCTCCATGACTCTTTTCCTGTGGCCCTCCTACTCTCATCAACCTCAACCTCTGCACCCTATGCTCTCCTCATGCTTAGTCTCAGCAGGTGGCTCTCATCAGCTTATGTGGCTCTTTCTTTCAGTCCTCCCACCCTTATCAACCTTGGTGCCCAGTGCTCTCCTCAACCTCAGTCTCAGTTCCAGCAGATGGCCCCTGTTTGGTGGATCTTTGAGGAAAGTTGCTGGACTCTCCAAGGCCATGACTACTCACAGATTTAAACACTCAATTCAAACATCTGGGGTACTGACAGCTGGGAAACAAGGGCAGAGAAAAGAGGAGACTAATGCAAAGTGATGATTGCACATACAGGGTGCATGCCTTCTGTCTGACCATCATATATCCTTCTAATTTTTTTGCAGACATGTCTGATGATGATCAAGACATTGTTGAGAGCATGTTTGCTCCCTTTGTTCTGCTCTCCCTCAGTCTCAGTCTCAGTGACTACTGCCCTTTTGCACTCCCAGCTGTTTCAGCTTGACTTCACTTGTATTCACCTTACTGTACACATGATGCCATCACTGTAGCATTCTTAATACATTGAATGAAATATATTTGTCCCTCATTTGATTGGCAGGCAGTAAACTTTGCATATTGTGATTGACAAGTGATAACTAACTAATGACTACATGCAAATCAGGACATTGACATTATGAGGTCAGTGTCATTCCAAAACCAAGATTCTCCATACCCTCAAAATTTGTATCAAACCCAAAGCCCCCCATTGTATTGCCAAAGTCTGGACCAGTGGCAGTCAGGAAGTTAGAAGTGTTGAATGTCATATCATTGTTAAAGGATTCATTAGCAAAGGGACTGGCAAGGGCATGAGTGGCAGTAGGCTGGACTGTCATTGTATTCATACTGGCAAGGGCATGAGTGGAGGCAGTAGCCAGTGCTGTTTCATCTTCATCATTTTCATCATCACTTACAACAGTTTCAGTACTCTTGAATGCCTTCTTGCACTGAGAACTATCAGAAGTTTGTATGTGTTTTTTCCCCTTGTCTGAATGAGTCTGCTGGTATTCTTCAGCAATTTTGCCTTGCTCCAACTTCTCATTGTGCTCTTCAAGGAGTTTGAGATACTCATCTTCTTCCAAGCACCTCCAATGGATGGCATGGAACTGCCATTTATGCAAGAGAATTTCCAGGTCTGGTAGAGCACTGGAGACACTGCTAAGGTTGACAAATGATATGTTGTCAGGCCAACCTTTGACAATGATGAGGTACCACTGAACCATGTTATGCCAGTAGTTTGCCCAATTCATCTTTTACCCATAAAGTCACTGACACCTTTGGTTGCAAAGGTGATACTGCAAAGTGGGCAATACAGATAAAAAAGGTAAAGTGTGCACAAGAAACTTAGGCTACCAACTACCCTGAAGACAGTAAAAAGCCACAAGAGGGGTGCCTGTGAAATACCAGAGTCAGTAACCTTAAACAGCTAGTAGGAGGGAAGAACCTTGGTAATTACTGCCATACCCTGAAGATCTGCAAGGAGGGTGGTAGTGATATTTGATGCCTCCTCATACATCAGATTCCATTTGGAAGAGTGAAGTACAGCCTCCCAATGGTTGCTATGAACAGATCTGACTAGTTGGTGAAGCCAGAGAAGCACAGCATCATCCATTTTCAACTGGTCCATTATGGCATCTGTGTGTGGGCCAATGCTAATTAATGGCATCACCAAACATGGTGTCTTTACTTCAGGCTCAGAGACCTTCAAGCCCTCAGAAAGAAATACATTAGCATTCTGATGGCATTAGATCTTGTTCTCTCCAGCTGAAGTGCTGACAGATGTAAGAGTATCCTTGTCCACAAGTGTTAAGAACCATGCTCAAGGGAGAGAGAGACTGACTCAGAGGGGCTTGGCTTCAGCTCACACGCTGTGCCCCTTACCTGAGTATGTGCCCTTTATTTCATATGAGGTTCGATGATGGTCTGATGAAGTCCAGAGGACTTCTGGAGGCTGGCTACTCTGGTGGAGTGCTAGAGGACTTCTGGAGG